CAGCAGGAGGAGCTGTGGAGAACTGCACTGGAACAAGCAGAGTCTTCTACTGAACTTTACAACAAGCTGAACAACTTTTGGTTTTTAAAAAAAAAAAGCCATACAAGCAGCAGCTGGCATCTGTTGTTATAAAGGGACATGGCTGAATAGGTAGGAGACAGATTCCCCATTATGAGTCCTCCTGATGGCCTCTGCTAGGATCATTGAGATGTCAATCACCTGGAGGGGAAGAAAGATGCACCAATGTCACTGAGAAAAGACATCAAGCCTGGAAGAAAGCTGGTAGGTTAGGAAGAAATTACAGAGGAAACTTATCACCCACGTTTATAACATGCCAGATGCAGACAAATGACTTCCACACAGAACTGGGATTTAATTACATGTAATTCTGAAGATATTCTACATAGAGCACTGTAAGAATTATTTCACTGTTGATCTTTGTCAGGATGACAGTCTACTGTCACCTTTCTATGCCAGGCCTCCCTAAGCTTCAGTCAGTTTACCCTAGGACTATCTTATTCACTTTGTGTAGGCTGCAGAGAAGGGGAGTCTAAATCAAGATCAGATCACTTCCCTTGAGTCATGAGGCTTTACCATCCCTGCCAGAAGTCTAAGAAAGTGAAGCTGATGTGCTGCAGCTCAGCTCCCAGTCCCTGTGCTGGCTCCACCTGGTGGGGTAATCCAGAGAGGATCAAGTCTCAATAAAACTCCAGCTCTGAACGCCAGCAGCTAGAACATTTTGATATATGTAGTCTAAATAACAGTGTTCACGGTGTGTTAAGGAGACAAAGTGAAATACATATTTAACATTTTCTTTTTTCTGGATAGTTTGCCTCCCAAGGAAATAAAAAAACCAACAAATCCTCTAGTACTCAACACTGAACATCAGATGTTAGTGTAAGGAGTGAGATGTTAAGCAAGAGCCTGAAAAACTACCCCACTGCAATCTTTAGCTACAGCTATTTACGTATCAATTACCAGGTTAACATTTTGCCTACATTAACTGTAGTGTGGAGCTTGGAAAGACGCTGGAGCATCAGACACCTTTTAGATGTGCTCAGCTGCAGGAACATCATCCAGAGGTTAGTGTTGAAAAATAGCAACCCAATAGCAGTTTGCAATCAGCTTCTAACTTACTTCCAAAACCAGCTTAAAATTCTTAAAATTCACTGCAGCTGCAACTGGTTGAGCTTCCTTTTCACCAGAACCCCAGTCCTAGGAGACCTGCTGCACTTAAAACACAGCACTAGCCGAGACTCAGCAGTGCCATCACTTCCCAAAACTTCTCCAAATGTCTGTGTCCTATGTATCTGTGCTGTGAAGTTGATATTTAGGATGTCCTTGGCTGTGTGCATGATATAGCAGCAACCTGAAGCTTCTAATGGGCCTGGTACACCTGAATGCTCAAAGTTGCAGCTTTAACACACAAATCCTCAAGTTCTGCCTAGCTCAAGTTGTACAACCATTTTTTATTCTTTTTTTTCCCTTCCAGGAAACAAAGTGCCACAATAGCTTTCCAAAATGGAAAACCCGACACACAGAGTGAGCATCAAGAGACCAGCTTTTAGCTTTCATATGGATGGCAAAGTGTTTTTGCCTCTCTTTGGCAAGTATCTGAACATTTTGCAGTGGAGCTGTGTGAACTGCTCTTAATTAAACCAAGACGACTTGTCTGTGGGACAAAACAGAAGCATTCACCGTTGCCAGACCAGGCCCACTTTGCTTCACAAAAAGAAGGGACACTGCTTAAACCAGTCAACATTACCACCGATTCCAGTATAGTGGAACTGCTGTAAGCACTAGACAGTATTACAGAGTTTTTCCACCAACAGGAGGACAGGCAAGTGCTGCCATCCCCAGGAGTGGCAGAAGAGAAAGCAGATGCTCACCTGGATTTTAGGGCACTGCTTCATCTTGTCCTCCTGGGGTATTGTGTTTGTGACTACAACTGCCTCAAAACAGGCATTATTGATCCGAGAAATTGCTGGCCCAGAAAAGATCCCGTGAGTTAGGATGGCATAAACTTTGGTGGCTCCAGCTGACACAAGCCTACAAAGGGAACAAAAAGCAGAAGGATGAGAAATTCTTAGGAAGTACTGAACTGACATTAGTGCAGGGCACATGGTAAGCATGAAACGAGACACCACCACATGCTTAGATGACAGGCTACCTTTAGTACCCCCTCCAGCTCCCTATTGATTTGGGGGAAGAAAACAGTTTAGTATGTCCGACAAATGCCACCACAGATAGAGTACACATTGAAAACAATCTACTGTTCCTAACCCTGGGATATTTGGACTAGATCATGCAAATCACTTTCCATGTTTTCTGCCAACACAAGGTAGCAGATATTTAATACTGAGTGTTGCATATACTGGCATTTCTACTGTAGAAGGCTTGAAAGACATCAAAGCTTGAAAAGCTTATTTACAATAGAAATTCAGCTGCTTGACCTTAAAGTGATGGACCAGAAAGCCTTTGGTTCTGCCTAGCATAGTCAGTGATGGTCCACTGGAAAACCTGCTTTTAACACTAGCATTTTTCAAATACAAAAGACACTATGGTCTTCCAGCTATTCCCACTGTGAGAACTTTATTACTAGAGGTTTTACTCACTTTGTATGGCACAAGATGGATAATCAGGAAACAGTATGTTTCGTGAAACTTTACATGCAAATTGTCTCATTAATTCATTACACAGCATTCACTTATAGCGGGTTTCTGATTTAGGAAAGAACCAGTCAGCCCTACTCACTTGTCCGCAGCATGACAGATGGTACCACATGTGTCTGCCATATCATCGACCAGAATGGCCACTCTGTCCTTCACATCACCCACCAGCACCATGCGATCCACTTCATTGGCCTTCTTGCGCTCCTTGTGAATGAGGGCGAAGTCTACGTTCAATCGATCTGCAATGGAGGTCACTCTGAAGAGAGAACAGTTTCCACTTAACTCCACACAACAGCTTCGATTGAACCTTTTACAACTATTAAGCACCAACTGCCAGTGCAGTAAAAGAAGCTGTCACCACATCTGTTACTGCTCCGAAGCAATTAATAGAAGACACTTTGCCACCTCGGTTTCCCTTCAAGCAGTTAAAACTGGAATCTCTGATCTAACCTGTCCTGATGACAGCAGCTAGATTAAGATAAAAGTCTTTCGTCCTGACCACTGTTAATTAATTTGCATTTAAAGCTCAAAACAAGCCTCAGCCAGCAGGTGTGGCAAACCTGAATCTATCAGAATGCTTGGGAAGTTGTCATCTCTGCAACACTACATTGGCAAGGCTTAAGCTGCGCTATGACAGAGACCCACTTACACTCATATAAGCATTCAACTGCCACGCATACAAGGACAGCAGCAGAAGTACACATCCAAGAAATATAAATCCACCACCTCACATTTACTTTGGTTAAAGTGATCACAGAACAACCTTACTAAAGGGATCTAAACTTTATATATTGATACTGATGAATACTAGAGTTTAAAAGCATTAAGAGGGAGAAGGAACAAAATACCTATGCCCCTAGGAAATTCTACACTTGTGATAAGTGGACTCCTAGCCCTGGTAGATCAGACTCATCACCCTTCTCCTACCCAAGATTGTTAAATTAAACTGTTTATTTAGTCCTGCAGTATCTCCATAAAATATTGCACCAGCTAGGACTGACACATTTCAGTTTGAGTGGCTTTTGAAGAGGTTTCTTCAGGAGTCCGATTATAGTTGGCTGACTTGGCATTTCATATACTGCATTATGCAATAAGCTACAGAAGCAGCTGAATGTACAAAGGGTCTCATCCAATACATGGGCCACAACAAAGCTACAGGAATAGCTACAGTGGTAATATCTCTTGGCTGTTTTTAACAGAGAGCTTAACACTATGTTAATCAGGTCAGCACTCCTTAACTTTTTGGTGTGACAGACAGTCCTGGATTAAATACAGCTGCATCCCTTTGCTGTTCACATGCAGCTCTTACACTGAAGCATGAAGGAACAGCCTAGTTTCTCCTAATAAGCACCTGAGAACATTCTGAACTGCCCACAAACTGGCACATTTATCTGCAGAAAGATGGGAGATTGTCAGCCTGTCAAAGTAGAAATGTGCTATAACATATGCTGCTGCTTTTTGGAAAGGAACCATCCATCTTCCTTGCTCTCAGGGAAGAGGAAGAGTAGCAGCAGACTTAAGTCCCAGCTAGATATTCAAATAAAGAGTAATAATGTAAGAAAATGTCTCACAGACTAAGCTTAATACTGCAGAGAAAACAGCCTGGATAAAAATGTATCCCTAATCAGCAGCAATAGCCTTGTCTTGGCACAGGGGTATGAACTACATGAGTTCCTCCTTCAACCTGCGTAATAACCCTTCTAGAAAAATCCTGGTTTAGTCCAAGGGATGTAGTAATTGCACAATTCATACCTACGCCAGCTGTGATTATAGAAGCTATTTAATACTCCATGTAGCCCAAAAAACCTAAATGATCCCCAGGAAAAATA